TATTATTGTATTATGTAACAGACTACATTTAAAATACTGTTTTTGTAATGCAGCAAAATCAGAGAAGGGAGGTGAATGGTTAACTCTGTTCTAGGATGTTGAGCTTGAGTGATAGACTGCTTCTTTTTTCTGATTGGCCAGTGCAAGCTGAGGGAAATATAAAATCAGCTGGGTGCTAAGGGGGGAGTGAATTTGTTTTGAGTTCAGCAGCAGTTGCTGCTCAGTAAAGTAAAAGTTCAGCTACAGGAGTGGATGTCTGAATAGTCTGACTGAAAGACTGTCAGACAGGTTCACCTTTTGAATAAAGAGAGAGACTCCTGGTCTCAGCTGTTTTAAACATAACGTGAGAAAGAATTCCATCTAAGAATTCAGAGTCTAGTGTCAGCTAAAGCTAAAACCAAGAACTGGGGTTTGAGATTTTGGCAAAGAGTGACTGGGTAGCAGGCTGAGGCTCCCAATCAGGCCAAAAGGAATAGGGTTATACTTTCAGGGAAGAAATACAAGGCCTGTCCAGTTATACAGGGAATTGGCACTGAGGCAGTCCCTGGTCTGTAGTGAAAGGAAGCAGTTATAGACTACTCAGGAGAAAGAAGACACATTGTGATTTCAGAAAAGGGGAAAGAATCTGATACACTAAGGGTGCGTTCAGACGGGGCGTTTCAGCCGGCATAAACTGTACCGGTTGGAACTGTTGCAGTTTATGCCGGCTAAAACGCGATCCCTCCTGACTGCGCAGCACATCGCAATATGTCTGTCCACACTTCAGGCGCTCAGCAGAGCGCATCGGCGTTTTTAACATTTTTACACAGTTTGCACATGCGCATAGGCAGGCTTCCTTCTAATGAAGCCATTATACCCTGCTGAGGCTACTTGCCTCCCTGAACCCCACTGTCCCAAAGCTCCACCCTGAAATCTCCAGGAATTTCCCAACTTGGAGCTGGCAGCCCTAAGGTGAATTGATCTCTGTAGCTGGGAGATCCGTTGTGATTCCCAGAGAGCTGCCACTGATGCTGTGGGGGAGAGGAAGCAGGCTGGGTGGCTGGGAGCAGTGCCACCATTGCTGCTGCTGCGCAGGGTGGGGGAGGAACCAGGCAGGAAGCTGGCTGAGTGATGGGGGCAGAAAGAGAGAGTGACGGGGTGGGGGGGAGAAAGAGTGATGAGGTGGGGAGGCAGAAAAAGAGAATGATGAGGGAGCAGAAAGAGAGAGGAAGTAACATGCATGGAGGAGAGATACAGAGTAAGAAAGGAGGGCAGAAGGGAAAAAGAGTATGAGAGAGGTAGCGGGAGAGGGGAGGAAGCAAAGGTGTGAGGAATGGGATGACCATCCCACAAGTTTCTTGCGGGGCTCCACTTGTACATATCTATTACTAGCAGTAAAGCCCGTTGTGAAAGCAATACAACGGGATCTAGAAAGAGGCTCTGGGGGAGTGCTCTGGCTTTGGGCAAACAGTGTCAATTTGCTGTGGTGACCTCAGCAGGGTATAATGACAGAGTCCACTGTTTTCTCCAGAGGAACTGATCTCTGCTACCTGAAGAGCAGTTGTAATTGTGAGTAATCTGTAGCCCTCACCTGGAGATTGGCAGCAATTGTTACCCAGGACAAAATGGCTGGTTTGGAGGGTGGAGTCTATGGCATTCTACCTGTCTGAGGTCCCACCCCTCTGCAAACCCCACCCTCTCCAGGCTCCACCCCTCAAATCCCCAGGAATTTGTCAGCATGTAGTTGGCAACCCCATCTCCTTCCCAGCTAGCCACCAACCTACCATTATCTGCCCCTTTGACTTCAGCTGACTTCTGCCCTCCCTTCTGCAGAGCAGTTGTAATTCTGAGTGCTCTCCAGCCCTCACCTGGAGATTGGCAACAATGGTTCCCTATGTGGGACTGACTGGTTTGGAGGGTGGAGTCTATGGCAGTGTACCTGTCTGAGGTCCCACCCCTCCTCAAACCTCACCCTCTTCAGGCTCCATCCCTCAAATCTCCAGGAATTTCCCATCTGGAGTTGGCAACCCTATCAGGATTGGCCCCAATGTGTTTTCTCCCAAAGGCCAAAGTAGGTGACAGGACCAAGCTTAGTTGCCTACCAACAGGCACTGAGGGGAATGTAGGGTTGCCAGCTCTAAGGAGGGAAATACCTGGAGGTTTGGGGGGTGGATTCTGTAGAGGGCCGGGCAACGGAGGCATCGGCCTTCCGTCGCCCGCCT